GATTTTTTACTGATTTTCAAAGAATTTGTAAGGGAATTGAAAATACTTCATTCATGACATGACATGCAGGAGCTGAAACAAAAGTTATAGGAGCAGGGTTTGCAGAATACATTTGTACCTGTAATATAATTTTTGCAAATTTACAAGTTATTTTGAATCTTTGTTAACTTATTTACAAGCTATTTTAATGATTTGTTTACTAATTTACAAGGTTTCTTTACTGTTTTACCTCATTCATGACTTGATATGTAGAATAAGTATCTGTATTGCTCTCACTACTAATTGAGATGTTGCTTGTCCCCATCATTGGATTACTGCTTGTTTTCCCCTGTAAAGATAATTAAAACTGTTTACAAATTTGTTAAACCAGTTTACAAAATTGAATGTTGGTAAAATACCTTCTCAACAGTTACACATAGCTGAATACCGCCTCTGAATTCCGCAAGCTTTTTCATAAATGCTTGCACTTGCCTATCATTTCTAATATACATAGGAGGCATGTCTTTTGTAGAGGGTAATGAATAACTGAGTTTCACTATATTAATACCGACATCAATTCCAAAATCTTCTATAACAACAGCACACAAATCAGTGAAACACGTATCCTCATTGATAAAAGTAAGAGACCCTCCTCTTTCAACATCAAATTTAAAATCCCAACAATTGTTATTTTTCAATTTCCAAACACCAGATATGCAATTCAACTCAATCATTACGACCTGATAAAAAAGATAATGTATTATAATGTTAAACATATGTATCTTTATGATAGTTCACAAGGTATTTATAAAGTTCTTCATGGTTTTACAATATTTTTTAAAGTTTACAATCTTCACAAAAAACACGGTAAATCAAAATTATTTCACTAATAGTGTACAATAGTTACTGAAGAACATAAATACAGTGAGAAGATGAAGAAGAAATTTTTACAATGGTTTTAGAAAGTTTTTAAAGGTAACACGAATTATAATTTTCAAGCAAGACAAATTCGAGAAAATAGATAAACACAGAATCGAAGCTCTTAATTAATCAATTCAGATTTGAAGACGAATTCGATGAACTTTTGGATCTAAACGGTTCAGATTTCAGAAGCGATTCGAACCTAATTGATGCAGATTGGGATGAGTCACAGATTTTTGATTACAGACTCGATTGATCCTCATCGATTGAACTCGATTGAACTCGACGGATCTAAGATGAAGATATCGACGGATCTAAGATCTCATCACCTTTTGTTCGTCGGCTGTGAAGGTGACGAGAGCCGCCGAGATTTTTGGTTCGTCGTTCCCCAATTTTGTCTTCGTCAATTTGGTTCCTCAATTGGTCAATTTGGTTACTCATTAAAGGTAAAATGGTCAATTTCAGGGAAGCTATTAGGGAGGGGGCATTTTTGAAAAGGAGTATTAAAAAAGGGGCATTTTTGTGAGTCCCCCAAATTTTAATCATCAAAACATATCTAGTCAATACCACTACTAAAAGGGCACAAACACGAAACCGTTTATAATGATTATAATATTTAGGGTTATACTAGATCTACCTTTTACTACAATCATGATATTCATTTATTATTAGTTAATACAAAAAAAAAAAATCTATACCAACGAAATCCCCAAACTTCCTCATCAACAACTTAGCTTAGATGTTGCTTGTCTTTTTCTTTAAACTCAAGAAATTCAATTACAACACTTGTAAATTTATACTAATAGAGTTTTTTCATACTTACCGACAAAGGAAAATTTAGTAAAATGTATACTTATGAGGCAAATATTAGCCATCTCCAATACTTAGAAAAGCTTAATGAGAT